CGACTTCCAGCTTGGTTTTGCAAGGTGACTGAGCCAAGGGTGCACAAGGCTCCCCCCAAAGAGCTTTGGTGGCATCCCAGAAGAATGGAAGTGCCATCTACCCACTTTTTACAGCAACTAGGAGAGCAGGACAAAATTTTCCAGACACATCCTAACCATCTCTTCCACAATCCAGCAGCAATACTGGATCATCTGGAAAAAACAAGGGAAGAATAGACTTTCACCTGTATCCTTGTGGGTAAAATGCTTAGCAATGTTTGGAAGTAAACACTATTGAGAATTAGAGCAGTGACCCATCATCACCTGCAGTTTGCTGGCAGGACAAGTGGCTTCACAGAACATCTGAATCTTGTAGTCTCTCTTTGCATTTTAGGGCTAAGATTACTAATTTAGGCAGTCCTGAAGATGGAAAGCATCTCCATCGTGTACATCACTTGAAGAAATAAGTAGAATAATACCACCTTCATATTTTACAGGCAGGTATTGGGTGGGAATTCAGCATCTTCCAGAGGCACTACAAAATAAGTCTCAAGTGGCAGTGGCAACTGAGGGTGAGATAACACCTTGGGAAAAGAAAAAAACTGATACCAGCTTATGCTGGTAAAAGATCCAAATAACTGAATTTTAAAGAGAGCAGTAGGTTTGACATAAATTTCTTACTCCAGTCCTCCAGTACCTTGCTATTCCTATTGATATATAACTGGCTAGTGACACAGAAGTCAGTTTTTGTGTAGAAGTCCAAGCCAGAAGTACCCCAGAAGGAAGCACTTGAGACAAGTGCTTATAGTAAAATGATAGGTTGGAACAGGAAAATAATCATGAAGATCAAACCTTAGATGCAGGCCCTCAAGGGACACTGGCTGTGGGATGCAACAGCAGCAGTTTCCAAGTCAACAGTTTTAGAAAAAGGTTATTTTCTTGGTCTCTCTTCAGGCTTCCCAGCCAACACCCATCTCTCTTCTACAATTCTAAGCACAAGAAAGATTTGCATGGCAAAACAGGGGTCTTTTCCTACCCCTGCTCTCCAGGGCTGCCATGGAAACTCTTGGCCAGGGAGAGAACTCAGCAGCAGCAGGATTTCAACTGCTGATGGGCTGGGGGGGCGGGGGGCTGTAGAAGCCAGCAGCACCTAGAATCAGTTCAGCTCCAGGGAGGGGAAGGAGGGTTATCCCCTACACTCAGGCATCAGCAGATTCTACTCAGCCTGGCACTTCCAACGGCACAGAAGCGGACGACCAAAGAAATCCCTCAGCACAGGTGGCAGGGGAGTACAGAAAGGCACCATGACACTTTAAGGTGTAGGTGGGTGGAGGAGACAGAGGACAAGGAAGAGCAGAAAGAGGTTTTATTTGACAGTACCATCAACTGGGCTGAACTGCAGTAACAGCTACTGGCCTACAAAACCACCTGCATATGACAGGCAGAGACACACCTGCAATTCCTCCCTACTACTCAGCAGCTATTTGAAACACCTATCAAAATTTGACTTTATTTTGATCAGATCTCTGCCTCAGCAAATTACTGTTGGTTCAATCTGGCTTTCTGAAGTATCTTGGAATCTAACCTATCTACAAGCAAAATGTAAAGAAAGGGCCACAGACTAAGCCTGAAATACTGAAATGCTGCATCAGGGACTGGCCTGGTTAGACTGTTTAGTCTGTTATCCTGCTGGCAGTGGAAACAAATTAGAGATTTTAAAATCTTCCCACTCACAATAAACTAATGATGATGACACTTCTCTAATAATTAATTCTGTGGCTTCTGCTAGGCATACTCGTTTCTGGATGCAGAATGGACATTTCCTTCCTTGCAGAGCCAAACATGCAGAGATTTGATTAAGGGGCAGAACAGGAAGCTAGATGAACTCAAACACTAACCATGAACTGAGATCAAACCTCTTGGGGAACACCTGCAACCTCTTGGACAAAACCCATTTGTTGCCCTTCTACAACTTGAACAGTTACAAGTCCACCCAGTTCATCTGCGTTTTGTTGTGTGGCTTTTTTTCCAGGTGTAAGAGGGTTAATGCTGCTAAAGACAGGAGAAAGAGAACTCTCCCATGTATGACAGAGCCAGACACCAGTGCAGTGCAGAACGCCAAGGAACATGTATGTGCCCAGCTCCTCAGTATCCCACTGTGCAAAGCTTATAACCAGCTCAAATCAAGCTTTCACACAGCTTTGAGAATTGGTAACAGGTTGGTCCAATGGACAAAATTGAAACCACTGAATGAGCTCTACAGAAACATGTAATGCAAGCTTCAACACTATAGTGGGATGGAAATGGAGCAACCGAGCAAAGCACAACATGAAGTGGACACCATCAAACAGCAACATAAAGCTAAAGCTGCATATCATTGTCACATCAAGCTTCATCAAGGAAAGAAGCAAACCCCTTCCCTCACAGTCAGACTGCTTAGAATTTACTCAAGTCACAGTCTGAAGAAATTAATAGACACGGACAGTCTATTTTATTCGCTCAGGTGACCGACCTTTCTATACTTGCCAGCATTTTCTCCACTGCACTGGCAATCACTACTCCAAGGTGTGCTGGCACTGTCAGAATCCAGGAGAAGCTTCAATTACAACTGCCAGCCAAGCAGGCATGAACTGCAGCAAGCCCCATCCAGGCACACCAACAAGATCTCCAGCCCTAGTCTAGGCAAGGCCAGAGATAATGAGACACTCAGGGTGACACATGAGCCTGATCCAAAGTCATCCGAGGCCAGAAGGGACCTGTAATGGCAGTCCGTAAGCTTCAAAGCCACATTACTCTCACAGAAATCCATGTGTATATTGAAATTGTGAGGTACATGCAGGGAAGGTCACTACTTTATCCATCTGAACATTTTGCGTCCAGCCTCTTGAAACATCTTCTGACCTGCCCCTGACACAAATGTTGTTGAGGGCTACCCTGTAGAGGACATCTTGTCCTCATCTTCCTCTGTGATGTTGTAAATAATTACAGAAGTGGCCAGACTTGCTGTCAACTCTCATCCTCTTAACATCCAACAGCCCTGACCAAATTGCCTGATGGACAGAGAAGGATTGATTAATATGGGAGAAAGAGAGAAATCTCATTTCAGTTTGACTTTTGCTATTTAAATATATGGTTTTCTTAAGATTCCTACAGAACCCCAAAGATATCTGGAGGATCAACTCATTCAGTCACAGGCACTCTCTCCAGCTGTACTTTTGGGGAACATCATGTGAACTAGAGAAACATTTCCACCTCCAAAATTTGCTGCTCTATCACTTTTAACACCACTTGTTATCAGCTAAGTAAAGTAAGGCTAAAGTGCATAATACCATGGCATTTTTCTTCTTGAAACAAAGTTTTGAAACTGCTTGAGAAATTCTAAGGACTTCACAGGAATGCTGCAGGCATCAGTATGAAGAAAATCTATTTATGATGGCAACAATTAAAAAAAAAATTAAGCAAGTGAGACTATGAAATACAGAGAGAATCACCCACAGTGGCATGTCATTCCTCTTCCCCTCTCATATCTTCGGTGTTTCAGTCCCACTGACAGGGTTCAACAGAGAAAACAAGCAAAGGCTCGACTTTGCCAAGCCCAGGAATGCAGCACAAAGGCTTGCTCCACACAGCAAGCTGCGTAGCCACGACAAGGAAGACCCTGAATATGACAGTACTGCAGTTCTATTTTCACTTGGGTGTAGTCCTTTACTCAAGAGAAGGCTGACCCCTAAAGCAAGTTCTCAAATATATCCCTTCTCCAGCTGCAAACCTCTTAAATCCAATTCAGAATCCCACACGGAAGCAAATACTTGCACTTCCAACCTTTCTGAGAACTGTCTAAGCACTACTGATCTAAATGACAGATCTGTGTCTCCAGGTATCAAGCTACAAGACTTTGATTTGTCTTCAACAGTGTTCAGGGAGCATCAAGAGAAACACAGAACAGAGATACAACTGCTCAAAAGATGCAGAGAAATGGGGGTACACTGCTCAGCAGCAAACTGGACTAAGACATATTTGTCTTTGATGCTGGCACAAATGCTGGGCTAGAGACCACATCCCTGCTTTATTAACACTGGCTTAGCACATGCTACTTTACTTAACCCTAGTCTCCTTTACTAAACACTAACTTATGAAATAAGTCCACGTGGGGCAAAGCATTGGTCAGAACAGCCCACACACCTGGGGAGCCTCTGCGCTACTCCACCACCGGCTTCCAAGACAACCCTGAGCCTGTTATCCTACCTCAGTTTCCCACATCCTTCTCAAGCGGCTGTGCAGGGTATCGGGGAAGGATGCAGCCTTTCCCTTCCTCGCCAGTATCTTTAGACATATAATATTAAAAATACCTTAAGCAGAGCCCACACAGGCCTGTAACACGCACAATTACATTTCATTTACTCAGACCCAGTACCTCTCCGAAGCATTTCTGCAGGATTTGTCTAACGACCAACCCACCTCTTCGCACAAACTCACAGTTCTGACCCAACTTCCATTAAAAATGCTGCCAGAAATAAACGAAGCAGAGCACGGCACGTGCACAAAGGGGCCAAGCACAAGGGCTGAACCCACCCAAAGCACACGATGCTTTCGGGTTTACAGCAGCCTCAAGCGTTAGCAAAGCCCCGCGCCGCTCGCTGAGCGCAGCGCGGCCGCATCTCCCTCCCTTTGCCGAGGCGTTTGTTGCAGCGGGGACCTCGCCGGGACCCCCTGCTCTGACACGGCCCCGCACCGCCGCTCCCGCACGGCCGGTGCTCGGCGGCCCCAGGGCGGGGGGCCGAGGGGCGGCCCCGCGCCAGGCCCCGGCAGCCCCCGCACCCCCGGTCCCGCCGGACCGCCCTCCCCTGCCCTTCCCGAACCGCTGGGAGAGCCGGCACCGCGCTCCTCCCGGCCGGAGCCGCGGACGGGTCGGCCCCGCCCCGAACCGCGCTCCCCGCGGTCACCCGGCGGCGGCGGCACCGCACACAAAGCCCCCCCGGCCGCGCTTATCCCCGCGGCCACCCCCGCGGTGCGGGCGGTACCTGCGGGGCGGGGGCCGGGCGGACGCGCTCCCTTCTCCCTCTCGCGTCTCCCCCCCCTCAGTGCCGGCGGCGGCGGCGCCCGCTCCGCTCCATGGCCGCGCGCGCGCCCCGCTGACCACGGGAAGAATGGGGGACCCAGCGCGCACGCGCCGCCCGCGCCCGCCCCGCCCCGCGCGCCGGCGCGGCGCCGCCCTGCGGCCGCTGGTACCGCGGTGAGGTCAGCGCGCGCCGTACGCATGCGCGGGGCCGTTACCGCGCGCCCGGTCGCCATGGCGACCCCGCCCGCCGGGAGCCGGGCCGGGGAGCGCAGATACGCGCGTTCCCGGGAATGTCGCACGTGTTCCCGGGATTGCCGCGCTTGTTCCCGGGAGTACCACGGCCCCGTCTCCGCTGACCGGCATCCAGCCACTGCCGCGCCCCGAGCTGCTGCTCCGACCGGGGACAGGCCGAAACGCTTCGAGAGGAATCCCCCACGCTGCGCGGAGAGCGTGAGGGCTCAATGCTGCCTTGTGGCTGTGACTGCGCACTGCCCTCCTTTGGGGAGTCCCCAGGGAGGAACAGTTCCACAGAATCACTGAGAGCGTCAGGCTGGCACGGAGCACAGTGGGACACCTGGTATAAATAATAATGAATACAGTTATGTGAATAAAATGCTCCAGCGTTGTGCCATGACAGCTCTGGAGTGAGGGAAACTCCACACTGTCTCTGAACAAGCTGTTCCAGTGCGTGGTCACTGCACAGTAAAGAAGTTCTTCCTCATGTTCAGGTGGAAATTCTGTGCATCAGTTTCTGCCCGTTGCCTCTTCTGTTGCTGGGCACCATCGAGCATTTCTCTGTATCCATTCTCTTGACATCCCCCTTTAGGTATTTATATGCATGGATGAGGTCTCTCTGTCATCTCAAGGCTGAGCAGCCCCAATTCTCAGCCTTTTCTCATACCAGAGATGTTCTAGTCTCTTAATCATCTTTGTTACCCTCCACTAGACCCACTCCATGTCACTCTGTTTTGTGCAGCCTTACTTAAAAAGCTGCATTTAAAAGCAACTAATTCCTTCCCCTTCTTGGAACGTTTTGCAGTACTCCCACTCTATAACTGAAGTGAGAATGGGAGGTAAATGCCCTGTGCAGAAGCTCTTTTCCAAGATGCATTTGGCCGTCTTGTTCCCTGGTCTCATTACTGCTTTTCTCCTGTTGGTTGTGGGGAATGAACCTCCATGTCCCCTCAAACCACCACTGTCCTTGCCCTCGGCGCTGTGGAAGGCAGCTGACCTCCATAACACTGCAGTTCCCAAAGAGCACCAAGTCTGACCCATCAAAACATGGGAGAGCTGTATGTGGAACAAATGATTGATTTTCATCCTTAACTTTGCAAAATAATAATGCCCTTCTCCTTGGCTCACAGCTCTGGCAACGCAATGACTTTTGGCAAGCCCCCTCCAAATAACCATAGATTTTCTAGTTTGTACTTTTTTTGCCATCAGGTTGCAGAGGAATACCTAACTGCTGCTTTGGGTGAAGCCATTGGCACAGGCTGAGTGTAGTCTGGAACAGGCTGCACAGATGTCAAGAGAAAGCTGAGGATATTAGTGCTTAAAAGGATGCCAGCTCTGAGTAAACTGAAAGCAGGTGATTACAAACCAGCTTTAGAAATTACCATGGTTCTCACCCCCAGGCAGTAGCTAATCTCCTGAGAGCCCTAACTGGCTAAGAACTACCCAAAGTAGAGACACAACAGATCTGCTTCAGCACAGCCCATGCACTGTTTTCCCTCCCTGGTTGGGCAGTTCTGCAAACAGGACTCCTGTTTTTTTGCCTTTCTCCTGTTTTGCAGTCTCCCAATAGCAGCTGAGGACAGAAATCATGGGTACATTAAAAAAGGACCAATCATTCCACTTCATCTGTATCTGCTAGAACTACAGGCAAAGTTCTCTCAGAGAACTCTCTGTTCCTAAAATACCTTCACAAAATATCTCACTCATTTTCAGCAGGGAAATGAGATAAAAACTGAATAGTAGTAAGGTGAATTATGATAAGTAATATTTTGTTTAGTTTTAGTAAGAAATCAATAATCACACATTTATTATTTATTGTGTATCACACATTTGCTGTGAATTTATTCTCTTCAATATTACAGTAAAGAGGCATTTACTTTGGAAATCTACCAAAACTGCCTTCTGATATATTTGTATGTTTGCCCTTTTTTCACAGATTCTTACTTTGGTGATTCTACATTCACTGTTTTGCAGCCTAAAGCTTTGTAAAGAAATGCTGAGAAATGCAGCTGGCATAGGTTAAAGTATTTTTTTCTCCCCTCCTAGGTAAAACTTGCACAAAAAAGATGACTTTTATTCTCTCTTTTGCTGCAGGACTTCAGGGGACAATAACTGCACAGAACTTAGAAGCTTCCTCATTATGCAACTGACAGACTGTGTACACGGTCTTTACATGTTTTCTTCGCATTTTTATTTTAAAACAGGTAAAGTCTGCACAGAATTTGTCACATAATCAGCTCTAATGTTTGGATTTTTTTTCCTGTTATTACATGACTGTTTCCTTGCTCCCTGCAGAGACTTTTAGAACAGTTTATGCTTATATTCCAGAAAACCAAATTGTTCCATGAGCAGCAGCAGTAACGATGCCTGGTTTCTCACAGGTCTGTTTTCTTTGTCCCTCCAATCCGCCCTACTCTCAGCAGCCCTACCTTCCTTTGTGTGTCCTGCGCCACTCCCCTCCAAGGGGGCACGGGCGGCACGGTGGGGTCAGTCCAGGGCGGTATGCCCGTGCAGATGGAAGGGCAGCCTTCCATCACAAGGGATCACACCACCCCCGAGCTCCCTCCTGCCTTCCCCTGAGGCCAGCAATGATTATTTCTCTCCTCCGTTTCTCATGAAATTTGAGATTGTTTCCTCCCCCCTACACACTGAGAAAGAAAGAGGGGGTTAGCCTGCCAGTTGAATAGAAACAGACAGACTGGTCACATAAGCCTCGTTTTCATTAGGAAGAGAAGTCCGAAATACATCAAAACCTGCAGGTTTTCTTGCAACTTTTTGAGTAGGAGGTAAAAGCATTGTTCTGATTCTTGCTCTTCAGGTTTCTTAACATTAATCTCAGTACTCTTTCATTCAGCTCTTGACTCCATGGCACAACCCCTCAGCTTTCCCAGGGCCATCACTCTGCATTAGTTCTGGCACATCTGTGACAGACCTGCACATCCATCACCTGCAGCAGCTCCCAATGGAAACCCATCACGAAGGCATGGCAGGATACCCCAAGGGCAACCAGAGCTAAGCTTTTGGATGGAATCCAGTCTACAGGGATAACTCAGCTTCTCCAAAACTATGGTTAGGTTACAACTGTACTATTGCTAAAGAGTCCTCAGAGATTCATCCTGGGGTACAGGGAGGACTCTCTAAATTAAGGAAGTTGAAGTAACCGCTGGAGAAGCTACTACCGTTGCATGAGACTGCTTGACCAGGCCTTCACTACAGTGGCTCAGCAGCAGGCATTTGGTGGTACCCATATCCATAGCATACCTTTAAAAAAGGTATTTTTTAGTATGCTCTCATCCTGAAAGGTCTCCATTTACTTACCTGTCTCCAAAACAAAGAGACCATGCAGCTGAAAAGTCTCCTGAGAGGATACTGTTCCCAGTGAAGCTGCACATATGTCTCTAATCAGTCCACCTGCTAAGTACACTGTTCCCTGCTTGTTGAGAAAGGTCTGGTTGGACACAGGGAGCTGTGTGCTTATACACATGCAAAACAAAGCACAGCCCATCTGCAAGGTGAAAAAAAGAGATGAACTTATGGACATCTGCAACAAGGACACAGAAAGCACTAAGTAAGGGCAAAGCAAAGTCAGAAAGCTTTTTAAAACAAAGAATCGTAAGGATAGTCTAGCTTTCAATTACCAACACTGCTCTTTCAAACAAAAACACATCAATAAAACTAGTGGGAAGAAGATGGATGGACTGGCTCTATTTCAGCAGAAATACTGACTATACCTGAATGACCTGCTCTTCTCCTTTCCTTCAGGGCCCTTTTGCACAACATCTGCTCAGGAATCTGAGAGCCTGGTGCTTCAAGGAGAAATGTTTTTATTTATGAATGATGGTATGATGATGTAGCTGCCTATAACAGCAGAGGACAGCAGTGTCAAAGCCTGGCTGTCCCTGGGTTGCTTTCCTAGAGTTGAGCACACTCTATGCAGTCTTAGCCTTAGCACATTTCCTTTATGTGCTGTCCCAACTTGACTACTTTTGTGGCTAAGGGGGAGAACAGCCTCCTTGACTTGATGTAGCAATGGATCTCTCCCTTTGCCATCTCTTGGCACTGACATTTCCTGCACACATCACCTGCAGAGCCTTGTGCCATCCTGAGGAGAAGGCTAGACTGCTGCTGGCACAAATACCATGGGCCAACATGAGGTCAAGTCCAAGTACCCAACTTCTGAGTGCTGCTGATCCCACTCTGGCACAGGTCCCCTGTGTGCCTCAGCCCTTCTGCCCCTCACTTACCTGGGAAACGGAATAAGCTCCTTGTCCATACTGCATGAGAGCAACACTTGAGACAGGGAAAGTACAAATACTTCATATCAACATGAATTTTAATAATTCCTTGTCCTTTCCTTTGCACATGACAGTTGTCACAGCCCCAGATTTGAGCACGTTCAGCTCACACAATATGCTCCCGCACCACTATCTTTAATTGGCACTTTTCTGCCAAGCCTCAGCATTTTGCATCGGACTTTTTCCATGTGAGAGCTGCCACGAACAAAGCACCCCACTGACCCACTTAACTCCCACGTGAAGGCACATGAAGCTTCGCTTCAGTCACCAAACAGAAAAGAAAACACAAGAGCAGAAGGTTTTGATTAAAGGGAAATGAGCAAATGGCTTCAAGGCCCATCGTGTGCACATGGGCACATCTGCGCGTGCTCACTCCTTGCAGACATTTGGCCACCCAAGGAGAAACAGCCTGTACAAAGCAGGTAATCCTCAGGCAGTGTGAATTGGGTTGGATTTGAGATTTCCTGCTGG